CAAGCTGAAGGCTAAGGATGCCATGTGGCATGCCTTGAAACCCAAAGCTTGTAGGGCTGAGTAAAACTATCTAATAATCTAAAAATTCAATCCGCATCCGATTCGAAAATTTAAGATAACCGATCCAAAAACATTTTCGGATCGGATATCCGATCCAGAAATTTCGAATATCGGATATTGAAATTTCGGATTTCGGACATCCGAATATCCGAAAAAGTCAAATATCGGATATCGAATTGGAAATCTGATCCGAAAAACCAACCCAAACTAGAAAACCCTAAATACCCCAAAAGCCCAAATACCCCTAGAAGCCCAAATAGCTAAACTAACAAAACCCTAAATCAAACCCTTAGTCCCAAGCCTCTCATTCTCTCCTCCCAAATCTCTTTCATCCTCACCACCCCTCCGTCTTTTCTCAGATATCGACTTCTCTTTCATCCTCTTTCTCCTCTCCATTCTCTCGATATTCTCATTCATCCTCTTCTCCTCCTTTGATCTCTGCAACTCATCGCACCACCAGCTGTCTTTTATCCTTTGATTTTGCAACCCACCACACCACCAGTACCTTCTCTCCTTAGATTGATCCTCACAGCTGCTACACAACACACTCCTCCAACACACCGCCACATTCTCTCTTTGGTAATTAACTCCTTCTCACGGTTGCTCCACCAACTGAATCTCCTAAGCGACGACTTTTTCTGATTTTTTTTTCAGATTTACTTATTGTTTAAATGATATGTTTTATAGTATGTGTTAATTTTGATTGTTATATATTCTGAAATTTCTTGGTTGTTATATTTTAATATTTGTGGGTTTATAAGATTCAAAATATATGAATAATTGTGTTTTATATGAAAATGAGTTTGATTATTAAAAAAATATATCTTATTAAAAGATCGGATATTTGATATCCGAATTACCCGATCCGAAATATTCGGATATCCGAATCATTTCAAATCGGATACGGATATTAAAATTCAAGATTTTTGAATACGGATATTCGATCCGAAATCCAACTTCGGATCGGATATCCGATCCGTGCTCACCCCTAAAGGCTTGGGGTGTGCCATGCACACAGGGTTGGTGGTTGTATACTTGCTCTCCAAGGATGGGTTTGTGGTCCTTACCTACTCCCTCCCTCATATTGACACTTGACATTTGATTATTGCATAGCTTGTTTAATTTAATTTGGAATTAAATTAATTGCTTATTTTCACACTTTATCAACCATCCCACATTGAAAGATGATGGGAATTCTTGAGGAGATTTTCCTATAAATACCCATCATGGGGTAGTAGGATTTTCACTTGATGAGTTGGTGAACTTGAAGGGATCTCCAAAAGCAAGAATACATTTATTCTAATACTTTAAGTAATTTTTGTCCAGCCTCGACTAAAATTTTGGGGTAGGGGTTGGCTCAGTTTGGATCACGAGGGTATTAGCCGTTGGAGGTTTGAACGTTTGGGGACTCTACGCTTTTAAGTTCGAGCTCTAAGTTAGAGCAAAGCATGCTACAAGGGTAATGATTCTTTCTCTCACTTCTTGTTAATCATGTGATTATGGATTTACTACATGCTTAGTTACTTTAATTTGTGTGCAGATTTTGGGCGGGTTTTCTTCCGTGTTGTGTTAGACATCACAAAACCCAACATAAACACTAGTAGAAAAATAGAAATTGGCACCGCCAAATGGCCACCGGTTTGGTTTGAATCAGTGGAAAAAAAGGGAAAATGGGCGGGATTTTGTGGGATGGGTATTGCAACCGGTTCGGTTTGAACTTGTGGGAAAAATGTTAATGCCACCGGTTCAAACCGGTGGCTTTCTTTTAAAAAAAAATTGCCCCCTCCCCTTTATAAACCCCTACCCTTAATTAATCCTCTCTTCAGCCTCTCTCCTCCTCCTCTCTCCTACTCTCTCTCTCTCCTGTTCGTCTCTCTCCTCTCTCGTCTCAAAGCTTAGCTTTGTCGTCGCCAGCAGTTGTTCCACCCCTCTCTCATATCACTTCTCTTTCCTCCTCCCTCATCTCAAAGCTCTTTTGTTGCCGCCAGTTTTGTGGTTGGTGGTGCTAAAAAATTAATGGTTTTACAGGTTTAATTCGACCATGAAAACTCTAGATCTAGACTTTTCATGGTCGAATTTGACCTTATTAAACCAAATTCAAACCAATTTTGGTTGTCAAGGTATGTTTTTTGTTTTTTTTTTAAATTTTTTCGTTTGTTTTTACTGTCGTGGTGGTTCCGACGGTGGATAGGGTTTTAGTTGCTGTTATGGTTGCTGTCGTGTTGGGTGTTGCGTTGGGTAGGGTTTTGGTTTGGTAGTGGGGTGACGGTTGGTGGTGGTAGGGGGGGTCGTGTGGTATGGTGGTGGGTCGTGGGTTGTAGGTGGGTCGTGAGTTGTAGGTGCATGTGGGTTCTAGTACGCGGGTTTGGTGTAGGTGGGTGGGTTTGGTGGGTTAAGGTGGTGCGGATGGTGGGCTGGTGGTTGGTGGTGGTGTAGGTGGGTGGGATTGGTGGGTTAAGGTGGTGCAGATGGTGGGTTGGTGGTTGGTGGTGGTGTAGGTGTTTGATACTTCAAAAAAAAAGTTGAACATTAATTTTGACAGAAAAATTTGGACATTAAAAAAATTTGGACATCAATTTTAAATAAAAATTTGGACATTAAATTTAAAAAAGAAATTTGGACATTAATTTTAAAAAAGAAATTTGAACATTAATTTGACAGATAATATGGGACATTATTTTGACAAAAAATCGACTCTTTAAAAATAAAAAAATAAAAAAAAATGGACATTAATGGCACTGGTTAACCGGTGCTAATAACAATAATATGCCACAGGTTAAACAGTGCCAAAAGCTCTTTTTTCCATCGGTTTTGAACCGGTGGCATTGTGGAGGAATTAGCACCCCAAATATTCAGCGGTTCAAACCGGCGGGTTTGTGGGGGTTTGAACCGGTGCCAATTTCTATTTTTCTACTAGTGAAATAACCCTTACTTTCACAGATTTGTTTTATGCAACCCCAACTTTAGATCATTTTTATATAATCTGAACCTTGAGAGGTATCCGGATTAATTAGTCCCAGTCAATCACCCAACCTATTATAACAAGTTGCCAAACACATTTCAACATATGATTGGTAAAATATTAAAAAAAAATAAAAAAAATAACACCCATCCAAACCCACCCTTAACCTCTACCACCACCCAAACCTTCAACAAGTAGCAGCCTCTACCACTACAAGCAACACTTACCCCCATAAATAGCTCCCCTCCCCACACCTACACCTCAAAACCGCCGCCTTATAGTCTAATACCCCTTAGCCCACCACCCCAAAACCGCACCCTCCCATTCCTTAGCCTCGAAACTCCACCCCTTCTCCTTTCCATGCCCTAAAATCCCTCCAAAAGAGGAGTTTCAAGGCTAGGGAAGAGAGAGGGGTGGATATCAAGGTGGGGGAAGGAGAAGGGGTAGTTTTAGGGGTAGGGGATGGAATTAGGGCAAAATCTGATTATGGGTTGGGGAAATGGGGAGGTCTCAGGCAATGGGGGTGAGGAGGGGCGGGGAAAATAGTGAGGAATGGGCTAGGATGGGAACGATTTTAAAGGTAGGGTGGGGAAGTGGCATGGTTGGTTTTAACAAGTTACTGGTCACGTAGGACTAATAAAAGCAAATATTAATTTAACATGTTATTGGTCACTTAAGACTAATAAAAGCAAATATCCCCAAAATTTGAGATTATTTATATATAATCGATAGTTGAGCCGAGATTACTTATAAATAATTGATAGTTTGGATTATTTTAAAACAAAAAAAAAAATACGTGAAAGTTGGGATTATTTTTGCCAAATATTATATTACTTTGTTGAAAAGATACATGAAGTATTTGGTGTTTACTTGACTTAAAACAAAAGTGTGCTTAATAATTAAATTTTAGTTCCAAGATTTTATTAGAGCTTAAAAATCATTTTTTTCATTAAATTTTCTTATATTAAGAGTCAAATCGAAATTATTTGGTTAAAGTAACGTCAATGACATTGACCGTCACATATTTTTTTGTCGTAAAATCATAAAGTAATACATTATCAATTTGTTATTAATCACTTGATGTGATTTTCATTATTTTTTTATATTATCATTTATTGGAAGAATTATATGTTCGTTTTACTATTCTGAATAAATAAACAAACCTAAATTACATGTCATTTGATGAATATACAAACCAACATTTCTACAAAATTAATTCTAACAGTAAAGAAAATATGCCTTAATGTCCTTAATCCTCTTATGTATTAAAACACCAGCCTCCTTTTCCTCTCTTCTCTCTTTAAAACTCTAGCCTCCTTTATTAATTTTGAATGGACTTCCATCGGACTTCACCTGTGGAAAAAAGCCCTAATTTTTATTTCATTTAGGTTTTTTTTTTTTTTTTTGGTTTATTAGGTTATATAATGTCTCGTTTGAAATATAGGGTTTATTTCAATCGATAGATAAGGTTTTTTAAACCTAATTTGAAAGAGAGAATTTTTTTTACGATTAATTTGGTCTCTAATTTTGCGGGGCTACAATTGACTACTACTCGAATTCAAGTTACGAAATCATCACAAGAATTTTCATTTTAACAAAATTATGAAGCGACAACGAATCCACTCAAAAAGTTATTTGAGACATCAAATCTATTCTTGTTTGATTTTTAAAATATGTTTCATTATTGATAATTGTCAATTGTAGATGTCTTATGGCTTTAATTAATTAATATAGTGTCATTTAGGGCTTCTTTCAAAATGAAAAAAAAAAAATAAAAAACACAGAGCAACCTAATCTTTAGCAACTTATTAATTTTGATTACAAATTAACCAGAAAGATGCTCAATTACTACTATGTAAAATTAAATAAGCCAAACTTATTTATACCCCTTAATCTATGTTGAACATAACTTTTATAATACAAACAAATTAAAAACCCAAATTCCAATAGAAACATAACAAAGGTAAACCTATTTTTTCTATAGATATCTCACATTTAGTGAACCAGTCCCATGTTTCTTACTCAAGACATCCTCCAAGGAGGTAAAGCTAGGCACATGAGCAATGACAGGGAAGTCGAGCGCCCCAACTTTTCGATATTGCCTTTCCCGGACATTATAGGAAAATACATAATAATGCGCAAACAACATTAGTATCTCCCCGTTTCTATGAAAATTAGTCACCTGAACCCACTTGTACGGGTCCCACCACTCAATTATGGGGTCTAGAATAGAGAACCTTAGAGCCCATGCTTCTGGCATGCCATATTCCTCCATCACCCAAATTTGAAGGTCAGGCCTGAATATCTTAGCATCAACAGCACTTATCGAAAGGCAGTTTCCAATGATCCCCAAATTTGACCAATGGTACTTGTATTTGTGGTTTGATGAATATATTGGTGGTGCTGTAATTGACTTGAATTTCTCCTCCACAAAGTCGAATCCGCAAATTAGCTCAAAATTTAAGCTAATATTATCTTGATCTTCATTTATATTATTGAGAGCATTATCATTGTTATTCTGATGATTTTTTTTACAATGGTAGTAGTCCAAAATCCAATGTAGAGAATTATTGGTGAAAAAGCAAGGAGATCTTGGGAGGATTAGACATGGGGCATCCCCAATTTCTCTCCATTCTTGCCCGACCCCAAGATCATAAATCTCAACCCGCCGTTTCAACGATGGGTCTCCTTCCTTATGAAAGATACGGAGCACTTTGTACCGGTTGGTATGCCCACAAAACCCGAAACCTGCCACCACCTTGTCATCAGCCGTGGTGGCGGGCTTTGGGAGAATTACAAACTGTCCCATGATTGGATTCCAAACCAAACTCGGCTCTTGAGTCTGAATCTCCCTCAAACAGATCAACCCATTACACCCATTTCCGAGTTGAAATTGGAAATTCGGTGGTATCAACCCCAAATTGCAAAGATCTATTGCAGGTTTATGAGGGTTTAATGTAAGCCGCATCTTACGAATAAGAAAACCGCCATTATCAATAGCAACATCACCACATGTTTTTTGCTCGATTAAAGAAATTTCTTTTAAAGTAGTAAACAAGGTGCCTTTAATTTGAAGGATCAAAGCTGTAGGCATGTGGTGAGAATACAATCTATAGAAATAAGGTTCGGTGAGTACAGAACGCCATGATTTGCAAACATACCTGCAATCAAATAAGGTTTCCAAGGGTATTCTTGCCAAGATGTCGATCAGTAAGATGCATGGTATATCTGATGCTTCTACAACCAACGAATTTGATGAAGATGAAAAGGATGATAACCATAACATTAGATTTTTGAACTCTGAATCTTGAGACGATTCTTGTTGTTCTTGTTCTTTTTTGTGGGGTTTTTGGTTAGTGATTGAAGAATGCTGGGTAGAATTTTTGGGCCTTTTTTTTCTATTTTCCATATGTTTCCACTCCATAGACAGACTAAAAGGTGGAGAAAACAAAGTATAGAGAAAGTGATATGGGGAATAAGGGATGAAAATAGAAAACAACTCTAAAGAAGGTAGATTTTTAAGTGTAGAAAAACCTCACCACCCTATGTATCTATTTATACTATCTTTGTCTTAAATTACTTGGAAAGCTCAGTAATTATTGGATGGGTCAATTATTTGTTTCAATAATGTAAAAGAAAAGTAAATTAAATGAGATAATTATTAATATTTGGAAATGATCTTTTGCGATCGTGATTTTATTTCTTGAATCATATCAAGATTATTTGTTTCTATTTTTACTTGATTCGATCTGCTAGATATTCAACATCATATCAAGATAATTTGTTTATGTACAATTGTGATCATCTAAGTTGATACAATCTTCAAATATGATTTATATTCCAAAGGTAGCCAACAAAGTGTATCACATAAACTACGGTTTATATTTTCAAAATATAAATATCCTATTGGCCTTTTGTCCAGACATAAGGTGGGATAATGTTAAAAAAAACCCGTTAATCATATAAAAGTTAAAGTGTTTACGGACTCTGAAATACATTATGAAGTAATCTAAAACCCGTATTTGAGACCAAGTTATCTTAATTTACTAATTAGGCCTAAAATTTTCTCATACATGTTTGATTTTTATTAGTAACGGACCCAAATGCGTCACATGCAATAATTAGACCAAATGGGTCTTACATTATTGAAAACCGAGCAACCTAGAATAATTAACCACCTAATTTAATATACATGTGAGTTCTAAACAGTTAGATAACCTTTTAAAAGATCGTTACAAATGTACATTATAAGCCCAATTCCAAGTTAAAACGAAGAAGATTTCATCAGAATACTAAACCGGGCTCGAAAACTGATACACTTGCACTTAAACGGTCATTTTTTAATACACAAAATTAACCTAAATCTAAAATCATTATTAAGTAGACATTAAGGTCTTCCAACGATATATTATTTTCTTTAATCCGACTTCAAAATCAAAAGTTATGGAAGTTTTGATAAACACGTTTTTGCATAAACTATGCCCGTGCGTGACTTTTAATGTTGCGGGCGACCACTGGGCGCACGAACCGCTTAGTTACGTTCACCAATCTAGTGCAACTTATAGAGTGGTGCATGCCCTCTAAATCTTTGGCTCTAAAACCCTAACCTAGATTCCTACAACTATAAATAGGGGTCTTCAAATAGACCTATACACAACATAAAAATTCAAAGATTTAACAAATTGTGAAAAACCTAAACCTTTCAAATTCTTTTTCTATCATAATACTTTCCCCCTCTTTTCCGAAGTACTTTTCAACCCTAATTTATTCTCTTAAAGTCCTCTAAAGGTACAAAGGAGGAAAGTCCATAATCTTAAAACGGAGATCTAGCAAACAAAGAAGAACGGTTAGTTTCTTGAGGACTTTGTTAAATATCCTTTCTATTCTTGCTTTAAATAAACTTTAATCAATTAATTAGTGTTGCTAGATCACTTTAATATAACTCCAATCAATAAATTTCACATAGTATTTTGCGTTAATAAAACACTGAATTGGAATAATTAAATTGTTGTTTTATCACTTAAGTCAAGGTAAATATTGTTTCTATTTTGTTCTTTTCACGAAATTGAAACAAAAAAAAATAACGACTTCATTGCAATGTAACTCTTTGTGATTATTGCTTGTAAATGAAATCAACTAACTTAGTTTTAAACAACACGTGGCATATATTATTTGTATTAAGTAATTAAATTGTTAAAAAGGAAGAGCTAGTATAGGCTGCACTAGAGCTAGGATTTTAATTAATTCTTAAAAGAACTTTTTCTTAGTACCCTCGCTCCCGGACAGGTTTAGTAGACCAATTTTGGCATGGATAAACTTATTATTCATGCTAAGTATCCCTTGAACTCTAATTGGAAGAAAGGTATAAGTGAGGTTTATGGATTTTCTTATAACTTTTATTAATCCTAGGTAGGGATCTAGCAACGGGTTGAACTTAGATCAAGTCTGAATGAATTGACCTGGATCAAGATTCGTTTTTTCAACCTTGGATCTATATCCAATCCGAATTGAATTTGTCAGGTTTGGGAAATAAAAACCCAAATCTAGATCCAATGAGTCCACCGAATCAAGGTCTTGGTCCAAAATAAGTCCTGCACATTTTTCCTATTTTTTTCCGACAAATATAATGTTCAAGTTAAAAAAATGCTTATCCGAAATTCAGAGCAACCAACTTATACTTCCTCCGTTTCTATTTTCTTGACCCATAGCCTTAGGCAAAATATTTAAAGATAGGAGAGAGAAATTGTAGTTTTATGGCCCTTGTTGCACATGGCTTATCTTATTATCCCAAAAGTTTTCCCCATGTGCAATTTTGAGGGTAATTTAGAGAATCTATCCACCAAAATCTTACCAAATATAGTATAGGTGAAGTATTATGGCATTTCTATTTTAGGAATATTAGTCTGCAAGTAAACATAAATGGAGACCTTCAAAACTATTTTTGGGGTCATGTTAGCCCTTTGTGGTTTTAATTTAAGCTCAAAATTAGCAAAGAATAATGTAAAACGAAATGTCTCAATTATGCCTCTTTATTTTTCTTTAGCCACAAATTGTTCGTGTAAGTTTTTGCGGTCATTGTAGCTCTTTATGGGTCTAAATTAAACTCAAAATTGGAAAAAAGCATAAATGCCTCATTTTTCATGTCAATTGCGTTATTTCATAATACGTAAAATACATTTACGGTTTTTTGCCAATTAGGAGCTTAATTTGCCTCAAATATGACCCCGATGTTTTACCAAAACAAATTTGCAGCTGAAAACATGACATCTAGACTCATAAAACAAGATATTAACAGTAAATTTTTTTTTTTTTTTTTTACAATTTTGAGCTCAATTTGGATCTATATATGGTTAAAATGACCTCAAAAACTTTTCCCGAGCAATTTCATGATTTAAAAAATAAAGACAAGTCAGTTGATACATTTCTTAACACACAAAATGAGGTGATGATTATTTTATTTTTTTACTTATATTGAGCTTAATTTTGGCCCACAAAAACGCTAAAATGACCATCGAATTGAACTTACCCGAGAAATTTCGTGACTATAAAATAGTAAAAATACATGAATCGAAATATTTTCTTTACACACAAAACGAGACAATTATTTTTTTTTTCAATACCGAGCTTAATTCGAACCACTAAAGGGCCAAAATGACCCCTGAAATCTTAACGGAAGATTTTTTTACACGCAAATTGAGAAAACTACATTAATTTAATAATTATTTAATGTGATGAAAAAAATCACTTATGTTATGACACGTGTCATGATTAACCTTAATAACTAACGAAGTTGATGCTTGTTAGTCATTAATTTTTTTTTATGGATTTAATAATAAAGTGAAGGGTACATGGTGAATTTGAAATTTGAACAAATGATATTATTATAGAGCATATGATAAATCTGATATTAGTGAGAAGATTCAAGTCAAAATAAAATAATTGTTAAAATATCATGCGAATATATACTCCTTTAATTTACAAATGGCCTACCACAACCCGGGGTCATGTTGCATGGTTAATGAGTCAGTTTTCAACATTGTTGTTCCATAATTAGGGATTCAGGGGGAGATGACCCTCTAGACGTTATCGTTTGATAATTTTTAAGGATTACTATATATATAAGTAAGGTCAAAATAAATTTAATCAAATAAAAAAAAATTAAGTTAGACCAGATCAAATCAAATTAAATCATGTGAATTGAGCATGACCTAGTATATCTCTCTTGACCTATCATTTATATTCGGATACCTCATTAATCTTCAACGAGGTACCTTATTTATTTTTATTTTTTTGAGAGACACAAGGGTAGGTGATAAGAATCAATCCCAAAATCTCCTAAAACCAAGAGAAAAGTTCTAACCACTTGATTTATCCCTCACTCTTACGGGGTACCCTTTATTTCTAAGTTGTTAATCTTCTCTTAGAATTCTCTCACACTTCTTTATTATGAGACAAACATTTTTTTGGTTCCTACATTTCTCGATAAGTATTAATTGTCTTTATCAATCCTCACCCCTCTTCTTTATTACTAATTGAAGATGTAAGACCATTTTAAAATAGAAGGCAAGTACTGTACAAGATGATATCTATAATTTGTTATATACACCCGGGTGTACCTTACACCTAACTAACCTTAGATTAGTGTTTTCTCTTCATTTGATGATTAAATAAAAAAAATAATCATCAAAATGAGAATAAAATACTCATAGATGCACAGTACACCTAGGTGTATATAACAAGCTCTCGATGACATTGGCTACATCAATATGAGCCATATGAATGAGTTGGACCTTTTTTCACTTGGACCATGTCTTCTATCAGCTACCCTACAACACCATCCACCAGGTGAACTGTTATCGGCCATGTGAACACCTACCACCAACACGGGCCTACACGTGGCACCTGCTTAGGGAAATCTGTAAATAATCCAACATATATTTCACTCCTAAGGTATTTTAAACCTACACACTTTCAAATTACTTTCTTAAACATATCAAATTAATACTGATTATTATTTATACCAAATTTCGCCTAAGGGTGACCTAGGGCTGGGACGTCCAACGGCTAGGATAGAGACTCAAGAAAACGAATAAAACTAAAGTAAAAACAAGTAAAAAAACAAGGTATATATTTTGGTGACGTAAAAAATCCAAACGTGGGAAAAACTGCTAGTGGGTGCAAGACCATCGTTTCACTATGAATGACTTTGAAAACAATGAGTATGAAAGCTTAGAATTGAGAGTAAAGAGAGTAAGTATTGTGTGTCTATTAAGTACATAGACTACGCTATTTATAATATCAGCTAAGAGGTCTACCCTAGCTAATAATGTTGTTGGAGACTTGTACCTACTTCCCTAAGAAATAGGGAATCGGTTGCTTAATGAAGTCTTAGTTCCTTTCTTTGATTCTTGAACTTATCTTGTTGTACTTTGAATATCTGTTACTGAGCAAACCACTGAAAAGAGTTGTAACTTTATCGTGGGCCTTGGTCAATCCTTTACCTTTTGCCAAGTTAGTTACATGGTCGTCTGTCGCCTTTCATCGTCGTGCGATAGGTCGTGCTTCAAGACGCGCCTAAAAATTGACCATAAAAATTTGCCTCGATTGTTGGCTTGAAAGTTGATAACTCAAGGGAACAATCTTATCTTCACACTACCCCACTAACAATTTGAATTAACTGCATTAACTTCCCACAATCCCACCTACTTATTGTATAAACAACCATGCCTCTTCTTTTTCCACTCCTAAATACTTCCTAACTTCTTGCAATTTCTCTCTCCGAAATATACCCTAATTGATTTCTTGAGTTCCTTCGGTGCCTCAAGCTTTGGGCGAAACTTGCAGATTCCGACCGATTTCGTCAGGTAATTCATTTGGGTTTTTAGAAAGAGGGGAAAGTAAGGTTATAAGAGACATAGTTGGCAATGATGATCCACCAAGCGACTTTGTAAAGGAGGATGTGGCCTCTTTTGTAGCTTTAGTTGGGATGCCTAGGAGTGTGGTGGTGTACGTTCCTATTGAGAAGGAGAGGCCTGAAGATTTTCCACCAAGGCATATAGTGTTATACTAGTATCCTTTCAGGCTGGGATACACCTATTTGTTTACCCCTATGTCATGATCTTTCATGGAGGTTCAGGATCTAACACCTGGGCATTCTGCTTTGGTTGAGAGGGCATAAAAGGTGAATGTTCGCGGCTGGAAGTCGCGTTATTTGTTTGTTGATAGGGAGTTGCTAGAATAAGATGCCAGCTAGATTCGTTGTGGTTGGCGCAACGGAGGTATTTTTCATATCTTTTATCACTCTTTACTTCGGATTTTTAACGTGTTATCTTAAGGCTTGTTTTGGTTTAGAGATCGACATTATCATTGAGACTCCTAGGAAGAAGGGTTTGTGCAAGGTGGAATATGTTTTAAGCGTTGCTAAAGAGGATCAAACCTTCGTATGACCTGCTGTAGTAGAAGAAGTTTAGGAAGAAATGGCGTCTGGTAAGTTAACCTTTGCTTAAATTACTTTTTTCTTGGTTGCACCTCTTGTTTGCTGGGTAGTTCTGATGCTTGTCACCCTTTAGAGACTCAATCTGGGAAGACTAAGAAAACTGTGATGTCCAATGAGGAGATGGTAGAGCGTGTAATGTAGAAGAAAAAACGAGTTGCTTCTAACGCCGCAAATGTTAAGGTTTTGGACATCAAACCTCTCTAGATGAGAATTTTTCCTTAAGCTAAAGAGATTCCCTCTAAGGTACCCAAAGAATCGGACTATGTAAAAAGAGTTCTTGCTGACTTTCTCTTGGGTGCGTCTATGTCGCTCTCCCTTTGGCCTTCTGCTGAGAAATTTTTGTTTCTAGGTCTTGAGAAGAGTTAGGGCAAATGGTGCCTACTAACATAGTTAGTGAAGCGGTTGTGTCGCTCAAACTCAATGTAAGTTCTGGTTGCTTTGTTCCTTTCTTTCTTGGTTTGTCGCAAGATATTTTATAGCCTCTACTTTGCAGGCTTTGCAGGATTTGTTGGAAGTACACAGGCACTTCAATTTTCGAGAGAAAGAGATTAAGGGACTTCGTGCGACGATCGTCACTATCATAAGCCAACTCAAAACTGCAGAAGGAAAGGTGACCAAGCTGAAAAGAAGGCCTTGGAAGAGAAGAGTAAGGAATTTTTTGATCTAAGTGCTTCCTTAGAGCAGAAGGAGAAAAATGTCACTGAATTACAGGACTTTGTGAAGGAGAAAGAGAAACAAGTTTCTTTGTTAGAGGCTTCTATATCTAAAGTTCGTGAGGATACTGAGAACTCCAAGTGTCTTGATTAGCTAACTATTTGTGCCAAGTTTTTGAGGCGTTTCTTGCTAGTCGCCGACCACTGAAGATGCTTAAATGGAGGTGAATGTCTTTTTGGCATCCTTTAATACTGAAGTTAATCTAGCCTCTGATGTTGAGGTTGCTAGAGAAGACATCCATTTTACTACGGACTCATAGGAGAAGGTTGATAGTACAGCCCCCTAATGCTAAGAGTGTTGATGCTACTGTCGCGATTACGCCTGAGGTTGCTTCTAGGGTCGACGCTTATGCTGATGATGGAGTTAATGTTGATGACGCTTGACTTTTGTTTTCTCTACCTTTTGTTGTACAGTTGAATTTCCTTTTGCCTTGAACTGCTTATGTTGTTATGCACTCTTTACTAATCATTGTGGGACGATTAGGTTTGTTTCCTATTTTTGAAGTACTTTGAACAATTTCTTAGCACTGTAATTTTAACTATTTGGCATGGGATAATTAGTCCTTTTGCGAAAATATTGTAAAAATATTTATGCCATAAATATATAAAAATATCTTGCGTTTTATCACTTTGAATATCGTGCATATGTTTTCAATTGCTACACTTAGTAACAGTATGGGAAAACTTGCAAATACTCTAGTGCTTGTACAATGCATGGGTGTTGCCCCCAATATCTGATGTCGTACATTAGTTGGCCAAACTCATCGTCGATGGTGAGATATTTCTTTACCATGGAAGTGAGCTATCTTGGGTCGTGACCGACGTTTCATCGTGCCTCGTCCATGTTTGGCATTTGGAGCCCTGACGCGTTCTGCAAAACATGCGCTAGGATTTGGCCGTTAGCGATATCAACGTCTTTACGATGCCTAAGTTAGTACTCGTTGTCCAAAATGTAAAGTTTAATTGAAAAAAGAATCGTAAGACTCAAGATCAGGCGTTTGTACCTTGAGCCTTTACCTTGAAATGGTAAAGTTTAAGATGAGTCGCGTTCCAGTTTCGAGGAACGACCTTACCTTTTTGAGATATCAGCATATATGCCCCTTTACGTGCGACGTCGAGGATCTGGTATGGTCCTTCCCATGTCGAGCCTAGTTTGTTGTTTATTGGATCTTTAGTGCTTTGTAAGACTTTCCTCAACACCTAATCTCCTAATTTGAATACTTTGGCTTTGACGTTCTTGTTAAAGCTACGTGCGACGATTTGTTGTTACGCTGTCATTCTGATGTACGCTGCTTCCCTTAACTCCTCTAAGGTGTCAAGGTCGGACGACAGCTCTATGTTGTTTTGGTCGGTCGTCATGAGGCCATATCTTGTTGCTGGGATACGTACTTCATATGGTAATATTGCTTCACACTCGTACACAAGAGAGATCGAGGTTTGTCCTATTAACGTTCTGGTGTTATTTTATTTGCCTAGAGGACCGATGGGAGTTCTTCAGCCCACTTTCCTTTTGCTGCCTTGAACGATTTCTTCAAAGATTGGATGCTTGTCTTATTGCCTTACTCAGCCTGGTCATTGGCTTGTGGGTATCTTAGTGTGGATGTGCAGAGTTTGATATTCCATTTCTCGCAGAATCATCTTTTCTTGTCACTTATCAACTGTGACCCATTGTCACAAACGATCTCAGAGAGGATTCCAAACCTGCATATTATGTTATTCCATAAAAAAATGAAATGACTTCTTTATCGTGTACCTGAGTGAATGAGTTAGCCTTCATCCACTTTGAAATGCGAGCATGAAGACGTTCTATCCAGGTGCTACTGGTATCTTCCCTACTATGTTCAATCCCCATTTCATAAAGAGCCATGGTCACAATGTAAGATGCAACATTTCAGATGGCTTGTGCATCAGTCTTGCATAGCATTGGCAACTGTTGCACTTTGCCACATAAGCTTCTATGGCTTTCTTTATCGTTGGCTAGAAATAGCCAATTTGCAAGAGCTTGTTTTGCAAGGTGCGTCCTCCAAATTAATTTTCGCATTCTCCATCGTGATGCTCCTAAAAGACTTCTTGTCACTCGTCGTCGACGAGGCATCTTTGCAAAAGACCTGTGTAAGACACTTTGAATAACACGTCATGTAATATATTATATCTAGACGCTTTATTTATACTTGAGTTTTCTTGCTTCGAAGGATTATCTGGTAGGACGTCGTCCTTTAAGTACATAATTATTGACGCCGTCTAATTGGGGGTTGTGTCTATCGCCAAAGACGTTTGGGATCTGGGATGTGTCAATTGACGGCTATTGCAGGTGGACTAGAGGGATAATGCTGATAGGTGACTTTCTAAATACTGAGCTCATGTTAGCTAGGGCCTCAACCTAGGTAATTTTGTCTCTTGGGACTTGCTTGATCGTGAACGGGTTGAATGGCTTAGATTTTCTCTTGGCAATCTCTAAGTAGGCGTCATTTTTTAATCTTTAGCTACGAGCTCTCCATTTAGTTGTCTGACGATGAGTAGAGTGTCGATGTACACGTTTAACCTGCTTGCCTTTAGGTCTGACGTGATGGTCATGCCTGCAATTAGTGCTTCGTACTTCGCTTCGTTGTTAGTTGTTTTGAAGTTGTAGATGGATTATACGATCATGTCCCCTTGTGGTGATTTTAGCACGATGCCTATCACGGCGCCTCTGTAGTACAACGATCTATCGCAGAACATCATCCGAACTACTTCTTGACATGCACTATTTATTTCCTTTAGTTCTTCGGATGCTAATGGCTCCAACTTTAGGCTGAAATCTGCCACAAAGTCTACTAGTGCTTGCGACTTTATTATCGTCCTAGGTAAGTACTTGATGTTGTACCCACTTAGGGAGATAATCTACTTGCCCATTGTACCTGTTAACTCTGGTTTAAGCAAGACAGACTTGATGGGAAATGTAGGGAATTATTTTAAACATATACTTTGAGCCCCACTGTAATCATGAATTTAAGCATGGTGGCGTTCAAAGGGAAAGAAGCTAAAGATAATAAAAGAGTCTCCAACAAGTTTAGGAATTGTAAACCTGAAAGGAATGGTGTCCTTCGAACAAGTGTACTATTCCGTTAGTGGGTTCAGAATTAATAGAAAGCTAATATATACAGTAAGGTCAAGTGATCGGAATGTCTGAGTGGAGGCCGCTTCCGATCAGTAATATTAATGCATAATTAATATTACAACTTAATCTTGAATGAACCCTTCGGGTTACACCCAAGCAACTAACGAACCGAAGTGACAAATTAATTAGGAATTAATTAATAAGTCGACCGAGTAATTAATATTTAGACGTCGAAAATTCGAGCTAGGAGCGTCGAAACCGAGCGTCGAAAGTCGAGTCAAAAATAGTAAAAGACGAGACGTGAAAAATAATAATAAATCAACAATGACCGAAATACCCATAGCATCGGTAAAACCGAGTGCTAGTAGGGGCACGAAAAAATGCTAGCAACCCGCACCAAGTGTGCGTAGCAATGCTAGCATGTGGCAGCTAGCAGCCCGCACACTTGGTTCGTGGCTTGCTAGGCCGTGGCAGCTAGCGGCCCACGCTTTTGGGCGCAAGTGAGGTGGGCTAAAGCCTCACAACCACCCCATGGCAGCCCACAAGGCAACCATAGGTGCCCAAGTGAGCTGCCATGTGGCGCAACTCAAATGGAGGAGAAGAAAGGGAGGTGGCCGGTTATGGGAGCATGAGTGGGGGGCAAGTTTGGTCCCCCCCCCCTTCAAGTGGTCCTCACATACTCCTCTTTGTATGCTTGCCACTTGTTTATTTATTACTAGTTTGATTATTAATTTTATTTTAGCTTTAAAATAAAATGAAAAATCAAATTCTCCCACATTGATGGGAGAGCTTTTCACACTCATGCATTTCCCTATAAATACCCAAGTTGGGGTATTGGGAAAAGCACTTGAGTAAGAGTTGAAAAAGGCATCACCATTGTGAAAACCTTTGAACTCATTAATCACTCGGGTTTTGGTCGGGCCTTGCTAACCCCAAGGCATTGGACCGTTTTCGGTGGTCGAGTTGTGGGTGGACTATCGTCGGAGACCGTCGTAATTTCCAGGCTTGCTTTCGAAGTAAGAGCCTCTTCCATTCGAACGAAGCACGCTCCAAAGGTAATCGTTTTATCTTAATCTTGTGATTAATTTAATTATGTTTATGGTTTTATTTATTGTGAGTGCGGTCTTGTTTTTGGGTTTGTTTCCGCGGTGAGCCGGACTCACCAAACCCCAACAGCGGTATCGGAGCCTCGCTCAATTATTTTAAAATCATAATATTTTTCAAGGTGTTTTTATGGCTTAATTTTTCTGGTATTAAGTTGCTAATTAGATTAGTAGCTCGTTTTATCTATTTTAACCTCGTATTAGAGTTATCTTCAGCTCTTGAACCCAGATTTCAACCCAAAAATGGTGAATTTTGGGTGGAAAAGGCGTTTTGGAAATGGTTTTACTCTACTAGGAATCGGTTTTTAGCCAAAAACCGACAAGAAATGCACTTTTCGAGGGATTTTTCGTTTTAACGAAAAATTTTAAGTCTTTCTAACCTTGAAAATCATTGCATATTTATGGTGCTTATGTATTTGGTTCTTTCCTTAATTTATATGCAATTTTAAACCTCTTTAGACATAATTACTGATGTGCCTATTTTATATAGTATTTTACCCCCGTCCCTTGGTCGTAATTAGTAGTGTTTTTGGCTCTTTAGAGCCACTTTTATTACTAATTGGTGTTTTCTAGTGTTTTCGTAGATTTGGTTGACTTTTGCAGGGATTTACACTTTTGGAGTATTTTCCCGAGATATTTTGGAGCAATCACGAACATTGGAGAAGCACGACCAGATTTTATAGCCCAGGACCGGTTAGAGCCATCGAAGCGGTGATTAAGGGCTCGGTATGTGTGATACCGGGGCATTTGGACCGAGTATTCAAGACCCAAAGAGGAAATCCAGATTGGCCCGAAGAATTGGAGCCCAATCGTAGTCCAATCAGTGGCCCAAGAGAGCCGCCCGGCTAAAGAGGCTGGCGCCCGGAGACGCGCCCGGCCGGGCGAGAGAAGCAAAGGTCGGCACCCGGTGACGCGCCCATTCGGGCGCGAGAGTTTACCTGAATAGCAAAACGCACGCCCGATCGGCCGGTGCCTCGCCCGATCGGGCGCGTGTAATTGTTAGGAGACGATTAGCGTCGTTTTAGTTTGTTTTAGTTTAGGATTTGTACGGAGTATAAATAATCCTCCGTAATACGATTTTAGGATCTCTCTATCTCTCTCTTTATCTATCTCTCTCTCTCTCTCTCTCTCTCTTTACTCTTTCTTTACTCTCTTAATTGTTTTCTTAGATTCTCTCTCTCTTAAACCTTTGTTTTTAATCCATTCTTAATTCAGATTCGTTTGGTAACTATTTCTCTTCTCTTAATCTTAGTTGTTTATTTTATTCCTTTAATTATGTCTTGTTTTATTGCTTTGATTTGTTTAGTTCTTATCATGTGTGAGTAGTTCTATTTCTAGGGTTTATGAGGATCCATAAATAATATGAAGGGGTAATTTATTGTTGATTGTCATTGCTAGATTAATTTTCTATTGA